AAAATCTCTGTCCACTGAAGGTGGAGTTGATTTTTAGAAACAGCCAAAAAACAAAACAAAACCCAAACCAAACCAAACACACAAAGAAACCCATCTCCACTCAACCAACAGTTAACAATGGCACAGTTACTGGTATCCTTGCAGAACCAGGGTGGGAAATACGTGGGGGAGGGTGATGTGGTGGAGCTGAATAAAGCCATTTCTGTTCAAAACCACCCATTATTATAAGACGAGACTGCTGGGAACTAAGCTTGGTAGTCCTAGCATGGCCCCTAACAATATGAGTGTTGTTTGGCCAACACACTCAGCCAGTTAAAAACATTTGTTTGGAATTTTTTGGTCAACATTTCAAAGCCAAGAGATTTCACAAAAGAAGTCAGATTTTTTCACTTCTCTTGAAAAAAAAAAATCAAAAGATCAGGCACACTGAGCTCTTGCTCTTATACAGGAACAATTAGTGAAAGCCACCCCCCTCCGCAAGACAGCACATGAACTTCAGGCTAACATAGTCTGCCACGCCCAACTGCCCCCCAGTCCAGGGCCAGTGGCCATGTAACCTCGTGGTTAGGGCCTTTTCACTCACAATTATAGTAACACAATCACATGGTTCAAAAGTCAGCATGATACACAAAGCTATACAGTGAGAGGCTCATTCTCATCTTACCCCCACCCTCCCTAAGTAAAACACGTTTGTTAATATCTTCACTTATTTTTCCGCTTCTTCCTTACACAAGGTAATACAATATATATATTTTTTTCTGTCTTGCTTTCTTCACTTAAAATATATCCTAAGGATTATTCCAATAACAGGACATAGAGAATTTCCTCATTCTCATTTTACAGCTACCTATCCCAGTGAGTGCATGGGTTGGTTTATCAAACTAATTCCATATTGACAGGCACAGGTTGTGAATAGTCTTTTGCTCTTACCAATATTCTACAATGAATATGTGTATATGTCATTTCATAGGTGATAAAGCCTGTCGTGCAGGATAAATTCCCACAAGTGAATTGCTGGGTTACAGGGTAAATGTATTTGTAATATTTTTAGGTACTACCAAATTGCCTTCCACATGGGTTGTACCATTTTGTGGTCCAGACATCAATGTAAAAGCATGTCTATTTCCCTTCAACTTCACCAGGAGAATGTGTGGTCAAACTTCTGTAGTTATGCCAGACAGGTAAAAATTATATTTCAGGGCAGGTGTAATTTGAATTTTTAAACCAAGATATCTTTTCTCACATGTTTACCTAGAGACATTTGTAATTCTTTTTCTGAGAACTGTGTTCCATTTTCCTACTGGATTCCTATTTCTGCTGATTTTCCTATTAAATTCTTGGTTTTTTTTCTTATAAACTTATAGGAGTGTTATATATATTCAGAAGGTTAGCCCTGTATCTAGGATATGAGGTGCAAATATTTTTTTCCAGTTTGTCCTTTGTCTTTTGCCTATGTTTATGAGCTGTATGTTTGTTTTTGCTGTTGTTTGTCACCCAGGTGTTTTGCTGTTGTGTGTGCTTTTTAAAATGTAGTTAAATTTATTTACTCTTTGCTTCTGGTTTTTGAGTTGTTGGAAAGAAAGATTTCCCCCATTCCAACATTAAAAATGAATTTAACCATATCTCCTTCAGTAGTTTTAGGGTTTCATTTTTTAAAAATGTAAATCTTCAACCCATTTAGAGCTTGTTAAGATGCACATTATTAGGGGCGCCTGGGTGGCTCAGTTGTTAAGCGTCTGCCTTCAGCTCAGGTCAAGATCCTGCTCAGTGGGGGAGCCTGCTTTTCCCTCTCTCACTTTCCCTGCTTGTTTTCCCTCTCTCGCTGTCTCTCTCTGTCAAATAAATAAATAAAATCTTAAAAAAAAAGGATGCACATTGTGAGAAGTAAAACCTTTTTTCCTACTGGGAGCTTGACCTTAGATTTTGGACAGAATGATGAGGCTACCAGAACATCAATAAGTGTAAGACCTGGAAAATGGGAGGAGAGAGCAGCTGATGGGAAGACAAGTGAGATGGGGGTGGTGTGAAGTGAGGTGGGGACTAGACAGGCCCCCCTCTCCTGCAGGAGTTCCTGGCAGATGGCTTCCCAATATTGGTCTAGCTCAGTGGTATCCACGGCCTTTATTACTTTTCTCCAAAGTACCCACTTACTTTTTTTTTTTTTTGCGCCCTTTTAACAACCAGTTTTTGGGCAGAATGCTAACCAAAATTACCATGCTGAGTTGATATACTTTCAGCCAAAAGCACAGAACTTTGAAGGGTCGGTTAGCTTGAGGAGACTCATCTTGAATAAATGAGCCATTTGGAAGACTTTATGAAATGCTGACATTAGTCTGCCTACAGCTTATTTCTTTGTTCCTAGGTCTCTAAGGACATGGAACCATAGTGGGGGGACCTTTGATCTCATACTCATTCAAAACCTACTGGTGATGTATAACAGAGTGGGGAAAGGTGTGACTTCAACCAAAGGAAGTCTGCACACCCACCTCCACAATGTATACTAAACAGTTCTCTTAGCAACTTTTCTACTAGAGGTGCCCATGAAAGTTTTTCTTTTTTTAAAGATTTATTTATTTAAAGATCTTATTTATTTATTTGAGAGAGAGTGCACACAAGCCCTGAAAGTGCTTTTTAAAACATTGTTTCCTCATGTGAATAATTCTCTATTCTGAGAAAAACAGGGAGTAAAAATGAGAAAAATTTGCAAAGATGAATGATGCTAGAATAAAGTTAAAGGCTTTCAGCAATAAAATTGGTTCCTCTGCTTGAAGCGGAGGCCTCAAAAGATACCTGGTGGGAGCGAGATGCTTAATGCTACTCACTGTCAGCAGGAAGGCATGCCAATGTGCAGGCATGCCACATTGCACCTCTAACAATTAATTCAGAATCTCTGGTGGTGGGATCTAGGTATCAGTCATTTTGAAAGCCCCCATGTGATTTCAATGTGCATCCCCTACTCCTGAACCATGCTGTTCAAAGTGAGGTCCTCAAAAAAACAGCATTGGTATCAGTGGGCGCTTATGAGAAATGCAGAATCTCAAGCCAGAAATTAGACCTTCTGAGTCAGACTCTGCATTTGAACAAGATTGTCAAGGTATTCACGTGTATATTACAGTAGAGAAGCAGTGATCTAGAGCAGCTTTCTCAAAGTGGCACGTGGAACCCCCTTGTATCTAACTCACCAAGGGGCTGGGAAGGTAGGGGAATGGTGATCTTGGACTTCTTAAGGAAGACAGTTCTGGAGATGATCATTTTATAAGTGTGAGGGGGGGGACCGTGGAATCTGTATTTCAATGTGCTTCCAGGTGACCCCCTCGCCTACTGCTTGAGAACTACTCCCAACAGGAAAGGCAGCAATATGACAGCCACTTTCTCCTGACCTGCATGGAAATTTCCTCAGTGAGGCGGTAAGGTCAAAGCATACCCATTACAAGTGGGGTATGAGTTGGTGATAATCTATGAATGCTTCTCAGCCTGACAAATGTGATCTTTCTGCTCTCTGACCTATAACAGCAGGTGGTGATCGTTAAATCTAGCTTTCCGACTGACACAGAAATGGGTCTCTCTGTTCTCTTGGGTTAGTGACTGAACAAGCAGCAATACACAAGCTTCTACCTTAAAAGCAGGATTAAAAATATAAAATGTTGATGCTCCGATGCATCCTTCTTCAAGGGTTTCAAAAAAACCCTCAAAATGCATGGTAGAGAGCCAAGAGAAAGAGTAAATTCCTCGAAAGGAGATTTCTTCATTTTACAGAGGTCTTTTAAAAAATTTTTTGCTTGGGCCCAGATTTTTAAATGATAACACAGGTAAAAAAAAAAAAAAAAAAAAGAATGAAGCCAGGAATGGAAAATTTGCTCTCTCTCAAAAGGTGTATTTGCAGTATGTAGTATTCCCATGATGTAGTTGTAAAATCATTTCAGCTCATATAAGATACTTAAAAGCTTTTATGATGCAGAAGCTTTAAGTGAGTTTATCTTCAAATACCAAGGATTCCGAAGTATGGCTCATGCTTGACTTGGGGTGCCAGAACTGAAATCTTGGCAATTATAAAATGAAACAAGACCAGTGCGGTCATAATGGATAATGAAACTGAATGGGGAACTGCAATGTGATCTAAATGTAATTGTTAGATAATTACTGAGTTAAAAATCAGCAAAAGCAAAGAAACTTCAAACTGGAAAAAAAAGATTTTCGAGGCCTTGCTTTAAAGACGTTTTTAAGAGCAGAGTTTCTTAAACCTTTTTGGGGGGAGTGCAAATCTAATGAAAATCCACGGACTCCCCTAGATGCACGCCCCCTGAGTGCACACTGGTAATTTCTGGAGTTCCATAGACCCGCTGGAGCCCACATGAGAAACTCAGCTTTCACAGTGGATTTTTAAGAAAATTTCTCTATTTTGATCTCTTCCACTTGGAACCGCTTTAGACCCAAGAGTTCCCAGCACCAAGGTTCCAGGTGATTGGTAAAATTAGGGCTGATTGTTTTCCCTTCAACCAATCTCATGAGGATGGTCCGAGGCCAGGTGAAAAGCCAGACCACTCGCTGAAGCCCGGGAAAGCATCCTTTTATTGAAGAAGTCTGCACTCTCGGAAATGTCTTTCCCGTGCTCTCAGGGGGCTCCAGCAAGTCGCACAGGCAGAGCCCGGAGCCGCTGTGGCTCCCTTCATACCAGATTGTGAAAACTTTTGTCCGAAGTTAGGAAGGAAAGTAGGTTCTTAAAAACACTGCCTACGCCCCTCATTTACCTGCAGACCCAAAGATGCCAGAGGTGGAAGACAGCCCTTCACCTCGTCCCCCATTTAACAGAGGAGGAAACGGACCTCGGAGGACTAAGGTGCTTGCCCAGGTGACCTCTCCAGCCGGGCTCACACCCAGGGCCCTCTCTCTCTGCACCTCGCCGTCTAGCCAGGGAAGCACAGGGCATCTGGGCCTCTCTCCCCTCACTGCCCGCCGCCCACCCTGGCGGAGGCGCCACGGGGAGCCGAGCCCCCGCCTACCGGCACCATGGAGTAGGTCATCATCATCAGCATGTCGTGGCTCTCGGCGCGGATGTGTGGCGCGGGCTCCCCGCCGTGGCTGCGCTTGTTGCGCGCGGCGCTGGCGGGGTCCAAGGGTGGCGCGGGCGCCCGGCGCCGCGCGC